ATAAAAACAGTAGCTGTATAGCTATTCAGTCAATGAAAGGACTATGCCAAATCTGTCCAAGCGACTTGATAGGAAATCTGTATAATAATGAAGGCCAACAAACTGAAGGAATGTAAAGTACTGATGCTCATAATACATGGACACAGAAACTGGACAATCGTATTCATAGAGACTAAACAATAAATGAAGGACACATGAGCCGGAATAAGAAATATGTCACTGTACTGAAGTAGTGTGAAAAGGATGGCAGCATACACAGTGATTTACATCACAACATGTCTTTGTTGTGGAAAAGCTACCAAAAAGATTAGATAGAGGTTCCATGGAAGGTCTGCAGAGGAACAACGAGCACTGTGATGTTATCACAAATGTAAACAGTTCTTGCAAGCATGGCATTACGGGGGCTAACCAAGCAAATACAGATTAAAGAACAAATTCCCCTTACTAATGAGAATGTTCAAGTACTTCCAGATGTGATGGCTGACAGTTTGCTTCAAACACTTGAGAAACGACTATTTAAAATCAACTTATGAAAAGTTGATTCTCTAACTTTAAGTAGAAGAAAGATGATCATGTCAATAAGTAAGTTTTATGTTTAAAATACAGCACGCTTTGAAAACCTACTTAACAATTTACTAAAGTCAAGTGGACTCAGTCTCAGGGATATGGCTATGAAGATAATTTGGAATATTTGACTGTAATTATTCTCCCTGATAGAGCATAGCTCTGGTAAAAGGCTACTTCAGTGGGTGCTCCATAACTAATTTTTGGCAGGTCCACAGCACTGGCCCTGTAAGTGCCTATAACTCAACAACTTACAGAGCATGCTGTGAGGGCCCCTTCTAGGAAAGACCACAAGGCATCATCGAAAGGCATATGATACAGCTAGTGCCATATAAGCAACCAGGGCTGGTCACTTCACCATTCAAATCACAGCATACTTGAGCCTCAAGTTTTCTTCTCCACTGTGCTCTTGAGTCCAGCCATGCACCTAAATAGATTCAACAAAAGGCAAGGTTGGCTTCAACTTTTAAGGTCAATATTACGATCAAAGATAGGCAACACATATCCTTAAAGTAAAAAATGAAGAACATGTATCTGGATTTTACATCATCAGCACAGGGAAAAAACCCCAAAACTTGCATGAAATAGCTTCAAGTCTAGCTGAATGAATAATCATTTCAAAAAACAGGAGATGGCCTACAGGAAAGGAAAGAGATTAATCATCAAAGTAAGCTACAGTTTGGAGGTCAGAAGGTAAGAACTGCCACAGGTCAAACTAAGTTAAATCTTGCAGATAAAAACCAACAAAATCGAAGAAGATTGAGGCAGCAAACAAAAATGTTTCAGCCACAGAAATGAAAAGAGAATGAGAAAAAGCATGAGGCATGTAGAGGATGCCTCAAAACTAATGAAATATTTCACATGAGATTACAAAAAGTTTCACAATATAGCTGACAAAGCAAGACATCTACAGGAAGGACTGTACAGAAATTAAAATCAGTGAAAACAGAGATTGTTGGTTTTGACAATCTGCACAGCCTCAGAATACATTCAGAAAGAAAAGAGGATTCAATTTACCAGGGGTATCTTATTTAAAACCAACCCGCTTTGTTTATTATGAAAATGGATTTTCTAGAGAAAAGCAGAACAGGAAAAATCCTGCTGGACCCAAGAAAACTAAAATTGATGTACTAATGAGTTAAAATTTTGAAAAGATAAGAATTATGACAAAAGTGGAAACGTGGGTAAGGAACTTGGCAAAGGGGAAATTGCATCAGGTTGCATTAAAAGAGGAAGTGCTGATGTGCAGGGAGGATACTATTGGAGCTCCTCCTTGGATATCAGCCTTTGGACAAAACCTATTGAATATTTCCATTAATGCTCTTTAAAAGAAGAATAGGAATACACTAATGAAATTTGCTGGTGACACAAACTTGGGAGACATCACCAACACAGACAACTGAGGTATTGCCCAGCAAGAATGGAATGATCTTGAGTTTTCAAATTCAACATGGCAAGTCCAAGTACTTAGGCACAAAGTAATAAGAATGATTGCTGTATCTTACAATGCGTCAATAGCAAACCGCTAATGAAGATGATCTGCATAGTTAATCACAAGATTCACAAGCCAGCAAACTGTTGTGTAACATTACATATCAGAGGGTAGTATTTCTATTAGGGTTGGAGAAGTATTCGTGCCATTATAGACACCATGTGCAATTTTGTTTTTTCATACTCAAAAAAGATCACCTAAACCCAAAAAGGCAGAAAGATTGGATTCCACTAAGACAAAACACGGCAAGATATCTATGTTGAAGAGGTAGACATGAACAGGGTTACTTGGTGCAGTTGCCTGGAAGACATAACTTGAAGAAAGAGGAAGTGTCTTCCATTATGTGCTCTTACATATCCCCCACAGACTACCAGCAAAACATTATATAAATTGCAGAATAGTAGTGAGATAGAATGAGACAAAAATCATTAAAACCGACACAAACGTGTATGCTTTGTGGTACCAAGAATCCTGAAATTAAAGAAAGACACTTTCTATACCACCTGTTCTGTACTGTTCTGCTTCTCAAGTCATCTCTGTGCTAGTTTTGTTGTACATGGTCAATACTATGTACAATATACAACAACTACATTTGAAAGCAGACAGGTGCTCCTTCAAATTGACTTGAAATTTATGTTAGACTAATATACACAGTCCTTTTTTTTCTGTCGAATTTTGAATAAATTAATTCCAGGCACCTTTCACTTCTCATGTAGAGAATCACTTTTTTTTCTTCTGTGTTCACATCACCTTCAGTAATTTTGGAACTGCCAGAAGAAAATGCTAGAGATACCTTACTCTGTGGCATTCTTCAGTTTAAAATATATTGGCTCACATGGCAGAAGCATGTCCCCAACCTTCACAGGGGAACAGTTGCTACGCTTTACTACCCCTTCACTTATCTAAGGGAGACAAACATCCCAATAGCATGAGAAACCAAAGGAAGTATCAAGTGCAGTTTTACACAGTTCAGCCTACTTTAAAGCTGGGCCACCTGCAGATTATACGCTCTCTCTGCCTTGTACAAACCAGTGCTACTCAGAACATAAGCTAGTGCAGCTCATGCCTAAGTTGTCCATTTAATTACCCTTTACATGCAGCTAAAAGAATATTTATGTTACTTATTATCTGGAATACTGCATCAAAACATTAAAATCATATTTAGAAAGTTCTGATAATAATCTAATTAGAGAGTCATTAATTAAAATAAATGATGACGTATTTCCTACATTAGCAAAATTCAAATTTCAAATTATTTTAATGAAAAACAAGTCTATAAAAATCATGGAATTTTTCTTACGAACAAAATCAATTAAGTAGAAAGGAAAACAGCAATGGATCATGCAGGAAGATTTAGACCCATTATTTCATTATCCCCTTTAACTCTCTTGAAAACTACCTGCTGCACCCTTGCTCTAACACTGGACAATTATCTATTTGTCTTGAGAAAACAACATGAGGTTGGTCAAGGAGAGGGACATAGGACTCTGCTGATCAAAAAACTTCTGTCAAACTCGGCGAGTTTGTCTGCAGGAAGACATTGTCTCAGTCATCTGTAAGAGCACAATGTGTTCAACTTAGCCATCCTGTGTCCAACAACAAAACCTCTAAAAGTGGTTTCTTGTCATTCCCTTTTCCTTGAAGTCCACGATTCACAGTCAGATGAGGTATCTTTTACTTTTTCTACAATATCTGTTTTAATTTAATTGTTCAAATTATCTACTGCCTCAGGCACTTCAGAATAATAGTTTCCTTCATCCATGTTTTTAAACATATTCTTGCACTAAAACAAGAAAAATAGTTGCATGCAAAGTAACTAAATCACAAAGCTAATAGATTTGACATGGCAAATTCTTCATTAGCTCTAAATAAAACAATCACCAGTTCAGAGACATTTTTGCTGCACAGGAATGATGGAAGGGGCTGAGGTGAGTTAAGAATGAGCGAGAGGAACCCGTTGTGAAAGCAGTGCCATCATTTTCAGAATGGACTAGCTCTGCAATTTGCCCATGTTCAGTGGAGAGGTCTGTTTTAAGGAAGTGCAAGTTTTAGTACAGCGGAACAGGCTACACCCCCATCACGTACGTCTGCAGGTTTGCACAACTGAGGGTGGCTGGCTGTGCAACCACAGGAGGTGCTGGAGTGCTCCCTGCCAGTGGTGAGCTTGGGCAGAACAGGGGAGGCAGCAGCAGCAGGACAAACACTAGGAGAAATCCAGGGTCAGCATGACAGCTGCTTCTTAATCTGTTGTGCTCAGCCTATACAGGGTTATAGCTATTGATTCACTGGCAAATACATTCAATTTGATTGCTTTTGGATGCATCAGAGGCATGCGTTACTTCTCCTGGAATATTACTTTTTGCCCTCACCGCAGCAGACTTTCCTTCCTTTATATTTCTTACAAATGATAGTGGCAAAGGGAGGGGTCCGGGAAACCAGATTCTTTCCATTAAAATACCAGGCTGTCTAAAATTGGCAATTTGCTAGGTTAACTTACTTGCAACATCTGACCCAGCTCCAGCTTCACTGACTCCCAAGCAAGCCACAACATCTCCAGCTATAGTTGGTACGAGGAACTGTTTTTTCAGCTCATCAGAACCAAACCTGCAACAATATAATGAAAAAGATAGGATATTAAAAGCTTTTGAAGGTAAACTTTACTTACAAGTTAGTTATAAATTTTGTTCTACCCACACAGCGATCAATTTTCCTATGACTAGGTAAAACCTGTCCCAGAGCCAAAAGACAGAACAGATACCCCCCAAAGCTATGATTCAGAGCCTTCAACAGAAGTGCAGCCACAATCATTTTAAACAAGGTTTTTACAAGCATTCAGGCTCTTACTCCCACAGAAACATGTGGTCTAGATGCCCGAAATCTGATCTTTATGACTGTTGTTTTGAGCACTATCATATCTAAATAAACATAGTCCCTGGGGTTTCCCCTCGATGCTCCTGCACCAGTCTGCGGTCAGCCAGGATGGAGGACCTGCTCTCTGCATTATCTTCTGACTTTTGCACCAGCTCTTTGCCAGGTTTTAGTGGTGACTGAAACGTTATGGCTTGTGATGGCCACCCTCTGCAAATATCTGTATTTACATTATTAACATTTCACATTTGCATTTAAATCATACAGTGAAATCCATTAGTGCTTCTTGCCAGCTGTTCTTTTAGTTGCCACAAAAATAAAAAGGGAAACAGCAAACTGTTGATGGCATTTTAATACAAAAAAATCACTTGGCCATATTTCAATTCAGTGAAGAGGCACACTCTTTTTTTCCAACGTTTAGCTGCTTTCACTGATTCAAAACATGGTCCATCTCATTTCACGGTTGATTTTGTCCTAATTAACATTCACTGATTTGGTCTTGCAGCGTGAATGGTGAGCTCATGGTCTAGTTCTTGAACCTTTCTTGTGCTAGACTGAAAAATTCCTCGGGTCATGAGATGTCTCTTCTGTGAGCAGAAATCCATAAAAGTCAAGTTCCTCCTCAGCCTCCTCTCTGGTATGAGGCTTCTCAGGTCAGCATCTCCACTCATCTCCCTAGGCTCGCTGGCTGGCTAAGCAGGCTGCAGTTACCTGGGCCCTCCTTCTAAAACAGCATCCAGTACTTCCAAAGGAGTGATGCCATTTTAGCTAAGACTCTGACCCTTCCCCTATACCCCAACCCTGACACAAAACAGTTAAAGGACACGGGACGGACAGAGAACAGACTGGGAGCTGGCAGACACTTTCACTTTGTGCACACAGGGAGCTCAATTCCTAGTCCTGTTCCTGCTGTTAATCACGGCAACAATCTCAAATAAATAAAAGAAGCGAGCTTGGAGTGTTTACTCCTTCCTCCAGCATACTGGGACAAAGTCCCCTGGTCTGTTATGCAGTGTATTTTTTTTTTTTCCTTTTCTTTTCCTTGGGACATGATCAAGTATGGCCAGCTGAACATTCATTAGACAAAATAACCGCAACAACATGAAAAATCAGATTATGAAAGGAGCTAGCAGAGATTTTTGGCAATGCTTTCTGATGCTTAAAACTTTGCCAACTTTTAGTTATTTCAACAGAGGATTTCCATGACAAGAACTTTTCTCAGAATAATGTTTTCTGTTTGATATCTGTGGTTGGTTGGTTGAAGTTCCAGAAAACAGTTCAGCTCTTCCTAAAAATGAGGCTACAGAAGAAGTTATTTTGCAAATAAAAAAAAAATCTGGCAACACTATCTTCAGAAGATCATGGGTTTCTACACCTTGCAGGAAGGACACGCAGCTCAGCAAGCAGCTAGCTATTGCGTTAGAGATATGTTGTTTCTGTAAAATTCTACCCATCTTAAATGTATCCCAGAAAAATCTCAGGTTTGCATAAATGCAATACCCACTTCTTTCTGGTTTAACAGCTCCAGAATTAGAAAATTGTTCACAATGAGATCGTGCTCTGGCTCAAGACAGACCAGACTGTCTGCTTTCTGGGCCGGGGCCATACCCCAAGAGCATAGTTTCCCACGTGATTAACTGTGCAGCCTTAGCATCACTCTAAAATATGTTTTCATACGTGTGTGTATGTACACACACACATGAGTCTACAGTCAATAAACCGGAGCTCCTTGTTGATGCTGGGTAACCCAGAAGTCCCAAATGTAAGATTCTGACACATTAAGAGTTCCATGAAAGTGGTCCATCCTTTCTTGCTCCACACTTTATAAGTAACATTGGTGGAATGTCATGAATATAAACACAAAAATTACAATGGTACACAATCTTGTAAATGGTGGGTAAATAAAACCATGGCAAAATACAGGTGTAAGAACACTTCCTTGATCCACACATAGTTCTGTTTATATGCTCTGCCAATTAGAAATTTAAGTCACCTTTCTTCATCTCAAATACATATAAAAAACTGGTTTCTGACAGGTTAGATTGCTACATTGAATGAAAATATGTCTGTTGCACATCACTATTCTGACTCAATTGGGCTGATAATCATCTTGGTAGAACCGCAGATCTTACGCACTTTTGTTTCTTCTGCTTCTGGGGAAAAAAGCTGAGCTGAAGTGAATTAATTAAATTAGTAAGGAAAGTTCTGAGTAGAACTGACAGATACACTAGTATGATACACTATTAAGTGCAAATTGAAATTCTGAATATGAACAGCTGCAGGCAGTTCTAACACGGCTCTCAGCATTTGATCAATTCAAGCTTTCTTGCACTGGAGCTCACACATTTGAGCACTATTCACCACCAAAGCAAAAATAAAGGGGGGGGGGGGAAGAGAAGTTTTCAGATGATCTGTGCATTATTCTACAGTATCTCAATGATGACACAATAGTTTACTCATGGACTTCCTAGGAATATAAAGAACATTTCCTTTAGGCAAAGAAGAGGGTAACTGACCTACTGTCACTTTCCTTCTTACATACTAGCAAGAGGTGAATTTCTCCCCAATTCTCTTTCTGTTCTGCTCTTAGACTCAAACTATTAACAGTGCAGTAGCCACGTGCCATGCTTTTGCTTCAGTGTAGTCCTGCACAGGCATGCTACCATCTGATGTCCAGGTCCAGCTTAGCAGTACTCCTTGGATCTTCAAGATACAGGAAAAGAAGCAAGAAAAAACAAAAGGGAAGAGATGCTCTTTACAGGCACAGAAATGCATGGCGAACGGCAGCAAGCACCCTTGGGCAGCATGGAAGCCTCATTAAGTTCAGTAATTTACATAACCTGGATTTAAAAGAATCCACACTGCAATCAGCTTTCTCTCCTTGAGTCCCTATTTCAGTCACAATAAGAACACATGCGAGTTTAAAAAACCCGCATTTAGAAAACTTTTTTACTTTTTGTGAAAGACTACAGAAATAAAGCAGTAAGAGAAGTGCTCTGGCTCCCAGTTTTTATCAAGCCTTTAAGCTTCAGTTATTTGAAGATTTTATGAAATAAATTGCTCAGTTCGAGCTACTGCTACGTTCTGAAAAGAATACAGATGAGAAGCCTGCATGAGAATACCTGATGGGTATGACTACCTCATGCAGATGAGACTACCTGAAGGGTTTTGGTTAAGAATAATTACATCAATCTTCTATTTATTTAGGAATGCATTTTACACTAAAATGCAGGTATTGTAAAAGAGGAGTCATATTAAAGATTACCCTCTTCAGACCACGCAGGTTTTAAGAGCTACTCATGTGGCTGGTGTCCCGCTGCCACCACACCAGCTGTGGAGGCCTCAAGGCTGCCCACCAGACAAGCTGCCACTGTAGCATGGCCAGGCTGTCACCAGGAGCTGGAGAAACCTCAAAGGTATAGGAACAGCGTGAAGCTGTTTTGAGGAAAGCTAGTTCAGAAGCAGCTGCTTGACTTCATATTGCCCCACCGTATCGCTCTGGCTACTTTTTTTTTTAATGATATGTTGAAAGCGGCACCTGTAACAGTCTCTGCTCTGGCTCAGGGCAAATCCCGGCCTACTTTATGCGCACTATACAAATTAAGTACCAAATGTGAGAGCAAGAGAACTCAGTATGTCTGTGCTTGAAGAAGCACAAAACCAAGCTTCCCTTGTGCTATGCCAGTGGGAAAGCCACTTGGCTCTTGAATGACCTCTTCCCATTTTCACCCTTTTGATCGCCCTCAGCTGATCAAGAGGATGATCCTGCTTTTCAAAACTGCTGTTCTGATTGTCAGCTGCAGCTTCTCTCCTTTACAGCAAACAGGAAATGAGACAGTAAAACTAACTTTTTGGATATTAGTTCTCAGGTATGCTGCCGTTCAGGGTGGAGAAAGAATCAGTGACGAGTAAGCTGACGAAATAGAAAAGCACTCTCTTCCCACTAAATAATCATCATTATCCTTACTGTTTTCCTATAAATAATAGTAGGGGGGGAAGGGTAGAAAAGGAAAGTTTACTGCCTACTGCTGAGATAAAGGAGCTCTATGCTGACCTGGTATCACTATGGATGTGTCGCCCTATAGGCTTGTTTACAAGCCCAGGGAAGTGTATCTCATTCGCTGCGTCAGCTGAGAGCTGCTTTCTCCACTCTACTTCTAAGCATGACAGCAAGTGAAGTAGTATATCCGAATGCATTTGAAAGACCTGACAGAGAGCTATGTTCAGAACCAGGTACATCAAAGGTCAGATCGCTGCTGACAAAACATTTTGCATTTAGTTCTCAAATTTAGAAAGTGCTACTGCTTCACTTAGAGGAATCTGGGGGGAAAAATGGAGCAGTCTGGGCATCTTCAAGTGAAACAAAACTGTTTTCTCCTATATTTGTCCGCACAATAGAAATGCATATAAATCAAAATCTGCAGGGTTGCTTCCAAGTATGACGATGAATATAGCTTTCTGAAGGTTGTCAAAAAAAATCATAAAGAATGAAGTGAAAAGGGGCAGGAACAGTGAATAGGCAAACAGATACAAGTAACATTTTCAAAATTTATTATTTCTATAATTAAAACTGCTACTACAATGTACTTCCCATTTAACTGAATATCTCAAAGACCTTCACAAACTAAGCCTTGCAATAGCTTGTCACCGAAGCAAGAAACCCATGGAAGTTGCAGAAACAGCATCAGGAGGCATCCTGACTCTAGATCATTTAAGACTTTATTTTTCCAAAGTATGAAAACTTAAAAAGCTCTGTGTGTGTGTGTCCGTATGTGTATCCATCTGTTCAAACTACTGCGCTGTCTATATATCTAATTGAGGGAACATCTCTAATTTACAGTGGCAGAACATCTTCATGACATATCACATTCACCGAGTTGGTTTGCAGGTGCACTCAATCCATGCTTGATGAATGGCGAATAAAGCCCAAAGTTAGGAAAGCCAATAAAGGGCTCCAGATTTCTTTTTAAAAGTTTTTTAGGAGATGATGGTTGATTCCCATATTACTGTTTACTTTGTGCATCGCTGATGCATCATGTGTAACAATGCATAGTTAAAATGCAAAATTTGGATTATCTCTTTGAACTTGTTTAGGATCACCACAGTACACGGACACCTTTAAAGAAACCATCCAGGCTGTGAACACAATTTGAAACCATGACCCAGGACAAGCAGTTAGCCCTCTCACTATACTGCATGAAGTAAAGCTGCACCCGTGCAAAATTTCCTGTAGCAACCAGCTTTCTCTTTTCATTACCAAGTTTCACTTTTACATCTTAACAGTGGGACACTGTACTGTATAGCTAGTCAGTGGAATTGACTTAACAGTGGAGGAAAAGTTCACTAATACAGATGCAAATTCAATTACCGATTTCATCATGTTAACGACATTTTCACATTTACTTTCCAAGAACTTCCACTTTAGGATTTCACTAGCACAAATGTATGTAGCTTCTTCACTGCTTTACTACAGCAGAACAGAGTTAACAGAAGGCCAAAAAACTGCAATGGAACAAAATCCCATCTTCTTTTACCCACAGATTTTATTTAAACAGCTGGGAATAAAAGGCTATGATGGGGGCAATGTACTATTTTCTGAAGTCTTTTAAAATACTAGTTTTATTCTCATTTGGACTATAACTAAGCTATTGTTGCAACAGACATACTGAACTCCATGCTTTCAACAAGCTTGTGGCGTATTACACAAAGGAGAAGAAAACTTTTAGAAAGATTTCCCGTGGCTGAGACCTCTGAAGTCACACATACCTAGCAGAAGGATAAATGGATGTCAGGGGAAGAGAGCCTACATTCCAGACTCTACAATGGATTTACAGGTATTTTCATTTGGGGGGCGGGGGGGAGAGTGGGAGGAAGCACCAACAAAAACAACCCAACCCTAAAATGCTCTTCTGTGCAAAAATTCCCCTTTTGTATATCTGTTTTGTGCAGAGAAATTCCTGACTTCATCATCATTATTTGAATTTAATCCCCACCACCACCTTCCAGAATTTTAGCTGTATCCATATTCCAGGGGCAAACTGCTGGACCAGCCTGTTGCCTCCCTCTAGTTTTGCAAACTGCTGTTTTGATGCAGAATGTTTGTGAAACTACTCCATGAAGAAGTTGGTAACTGCCACTTTTATTGAGGGAGGAAAAAAAAAAGAACCAAAACAGATTCAGAAAGTGCAGGAGCCTAAATGATAGCAAGTGATAAAAGGGGAACACTGACACAAGCAGATGAGAAAAAGCAAAGTGAGTAATTGCCTGGAATGGACATATTTAGGAAGCACGATACATGTGCTACAACTTTAGGAGTTAGACCAACATTGATCATTATTTCTGAAAAGTCACAGTCAGCGAGGAGCACCTTGTAAAGCTGGAGAAAAGCAAGTAAATTATATAATAGAATTAGACTGATCCTAATCATTACAACTAAATACATCCTTAGTATGACTGCACTGGGATATCTGGCTAAGAAAAAACACAAACGTGAATAGGGATATTCTGGAATTAAAATTGTTCTACTGGTTGTGGCACCAAGGTTCTCAGCTTGTAAACATATCATCTACTATTAAACAAGGCCTATGTTTTAATATACAATATTCTAGCATTAAAAAAAAGAAAAAAAGTATTTTCTCTCCTAAACCAAACTGTCTGAGAGAGGTAGAGAGTAGGTTCCTTCCTCCAGCGTTACTGAAGAGCAACTAGACAATAAATCTGCACAGTAATGTTTTTTCCTACTCTTATACAGATTGGGTTTTAGGCCTGAACACATGATGATTTGGGTTTTAGGCTAAACCAAACTTTCTGAAAATTACCTTGTAAGAGCAGGAGTAGCCATGCCAGCTTGCACTCCAATAGCCATAGGAATACCTCCACAGTGGATATTTCCCAGCTCTTCTGCCACTGCAATGTTATAGGAGAAGTCCAAGCCCATGCCGCCATATTCTGAGGAAAAAACAAATGTATGATGCTCATGTTCTACACTGGCATAAGCAACAAGAAAAAAAAAAATATTGCTACTGCAAGGACTTGCCAACTGCAATTTCACTGCTAATTTTTAAATATTTGACAATTATCGGCTTTCCTTTCAGAAAAGCGATGCCACACTATTCTTTACAAAACCTGAATTTAAAACTACACCTGCTCTAATTTCCCGGGCGCACATCAGGTCACCTCTGAATATCCTAAGTAGCATCATTACTTTTACTGGAAACAGCAGGAAAAAGTGATGTGCTGCTAAAAATGACATCAGAAGGCAAAATTATTCTTTCTAACAGCAAGGTTGTATGAACAAATCACCACAAGGTAAGAAGTGCTTTTATTTCTCCATAACAATGCCTGACACCCACTCTCACCCCCCAGTGAACTCAAGCAGAGCTCATCTTCCTCGCATGCAGCACTCAAGTCAGCACAGAGCAAGACCAAGTGCAGGTCGTGTCCCTGCGTTAAATTACTGCCGTAGCTCAAAATCCACCTTAGACACAAGTACAATACCGAACACACGTATTTAATATCCTGGCACCTGGTCGGTGCAGACATTAAAGCATTTTTCATTAGCAGGAGGCTGATGACCCGGGGCGCTGGCCAGGCTCCAGCACAGGCCGTTCCTCCTCCCCACATTCCAATCTGCAGATTCAATTAAAAAGGATATTATTCTTCACCTCCTTCCCATGCCCAGTGCTGATAAACCCACCATGTAGAGAAACACAGAAAAGGGCTACACTGCTATGATGGACGAAGTAATTTCTAGCTGCATTAAATAGTTTATAGTCCAAAGGAAACATGGTGAAAAAAGAGAAGGTTACTGCTTGACGTCATTAGTTGACCGAGAAGCTTTGATTAGATAATGTTTTCCTCCTTTTTTTGTTTTGTTTTTTTGGTTGGTTGGGGTTTTTTTTAACTCATTTGAAGACCAACTAAGAAAATTTCAAATAAATAGATACAATCCCCACCCCTCACACACACACACAGACACAACAAGGGGCAGGCGACCCTCTTTCACTTGCTGACATCAAACACTATCTGAGCTCACCCCTCTACTAACCTGCTTTGAAGTTTTCAAAAAACACCATTAATTAAAAATCAAAACACCACAGTGCGTATAAACGCAGGGCTTTGTGTGCTATCATCTGTTTCCTAAACCCACAGAAACTATCTCTGTGCATCCTTTCTCTGCAGACAGAAAGGAAACCACAAATGGAAAAGGCTAAGCGTAGAGTTTAATTTTCAAATAATGTTTCTCCTTAGGTCATCCTGAGTGACCTGGATTGTCAGAATTACAAAATAACCACTTTTCCAAACTTTTACCTGAAAATAAAGCACGTTTCTAAAAAATATACACAAAATTGAAATTCCTACTGAAAGCTTAAGCAATACAGTGAAGCGATAGTAATATGAGAATGTCTTTAGCGTAATATATAATCCAATTCTCTTGCCTTAACAAAGGCCCCATCAATAAGTGCTCTGAGGAACAGTAAGGAACGTATGCGCATGTAAAGGGGAGGCTATCTAAAGATGCGTGGTATGAGAGGTTTTTTGCTAATTTTATATGAATCTGTATCAGAGTTATAATAGATAACCTCAGTTCTGGCACCACACAAATGCTTTCCATTTGATTTTATTTTTTTTAAATCAGTCAATCATTTTATTGCCGAACTACAGTTATTCTAATTTTGTCTTTGGTTTTGTCTACCAAGCAGTTATATTCCTGTCTTTCACTTAATTTCACAAATCAAACCCTTGGTTTCTTGATTTACCCAAAGCAACTTCACAAGAGGAATGCTATGCACAAAACTGACCCAAAGAAGGACCGTTTTATGCAAGTGTACGGCTTACATACATTCTTTGTTCATACCACAATTTGTTATGTATTACTATATAACAGACTTGCCTTGCTCTCATTTGAGATTAGTTACCAAGTGGTACATTTTAAAAACAAAATGCTGCAAAAGGCCAGCTCTCAAAGCGATGACACTGAAGGAATTTCCTACCAAAGGGAGGAAACAAATCAGAACAAAGCCGCAGGAGCTGAGAAGGTGGAGGGGGGAAGCCCTACCAGGCAAAGAGATGATGCATCCTCTGAAGATTTTATAGTCTGGGGATAGATAATGCAACAGACAACCACAGATGCAGATGGGCAGGAAGGGCAGAAGCAAATGGTAAAAACATTAATCAGACAACACCTAACTTTTCATCAGCTCTGTTCCAGGAGCCAAGGAGAAAGAGTTTCATGGAGAAATGTGAGTGGTTTGACAGATGATTATAGGAACGCCTCTTTTGAACCCAAAGTACTTGCTCGAGACAGAGATTCACTTGTCAGTGAAGTCTGTGCAGCTATATCCCCAAGTAATTTGGGTAACTTATGCCATGGCTAAAGACAGTTGTGTCCCATCTGTTTGGGGAACCGGATCTCTGCACTGAGACGCGCTGCCAGCAATGTCACACACAGCAATAGCAGGCAGTGCTGGCTCCGAGCACCCATGCAACTTTCTTTTTTCCCCAGCACATGGTGGCAGCCTGGCTTCCGCAGCCCCGCTGTCAGTGCCCCAGCCAGCTATTTTGGGGCTGGTCTGAGCACATAACCCTGCATGCCACGGGACTCAGCTCTTAAACTGAGACAAACCCACCAGATTATTCTTACTTCTACCTGCGATGACGGTGAACATTTTATGGAATGAATGTTTAATTTTTATTTGTAGTAAGATTTACCCTTTTTGGAATAACTCTTATTTGCAATAAGGGAATAAGCTGGTGGTAGGAGGGTCGTGTTCACCAGTGTCATCAACAAGCACCACCTCCTGGAAGTATCCGTACAATGATGTAATGCTAACAGGTCAATTTAATTTTCATTCATAAAAGCAAACACCATGCCTAATATAACTTTTGGTGAAAAATCCATAATGAAAAGGAACCAAATTAATTTCAGATTTGATTGTTGTTTTTTTAAAAAAAGAGTAACAAGCTATATGTAAATATTCACATGTAGAACATTTCTAGGGTAAATATTTCATTTAACTTTAAAATGAGATGAGTGACCTTTAGAGAATTGTTTGGCTACATTTGCATTTTTAATTTGCAAGAAATATTAAAAGAACAAAGCAAAGCAAAACTCGGCAGAAAGTCTAATGCACTAATATTTTATTATTCAAAACAGGTAGAAAAAGGCAACTCTGCTATATTCAAATCGTTACTGTTTTGCTGACAATAGCACAACTTACAGCTGTTAAATGGCTTAATTTGATATCTTATCCATTGTTCGATTTCAGGTTCTCTTACAAAGAAATTAAATTATAAAGCCCAAAGCAAGAACACATGAACATGCAGATAAATAAAGATTCTGCACTGCAGACCATGGGCAGGACCCACGCTGGAGTAGGGGAAGAGTGTGAGGAGGAAGGAGCAGCAGAGAGGAGCTGCTATGAACTGACTGCAATCCCCCATCCCCATCCCCCTGCACCACTTGGGGTGGGGAGGGAGGTAGATGACTCGGGAATGAAGGACTGAAGCTGAGCCTGGGAAGAAGGGGGAGAGGATGGTGGGGAACATGTTGTTTTAATTTGCCTTTGTTTCTCGCTACACAAATCTGTTTTAATTGGCAGCAAATTAAATTAATTTTCCCCAAGCCAAGTCTGCTTTGCCCATGATGGTAACTGGTGAGCCATCTCCCTGGCTTTATCTTGACCAGCTGAGCCTTGCCATTGTATTTTCTCCCCTGTCCTGTTGAGAAGGAGTGAGCGAGCAGCTGGGTGGGTGTCTGGCTGCTGGCCACGGTGAACCCACCACACCACAGTGAGTATATTAACCTATTATTCTTTTACATTGACTCTGTGAACCCCCCCCCCCCCCTTTTTTTACCCCCCCCCCCCCCCCCCCCCCCCCCTGCTCCTTATTTTATATAGAACATCTTATTTCTTTATTTCTACATGTTAAGTTTGTGATACTGCCAGTAGAGTGGGAGTCCAAGAGAAAACAGCAAGCTTTAAAAAACATAGTTTTTAAAAGATGCAGATGTACATTCTACTAAGTCTGATAATTTAGGGTATCAGGACTTATATATATGAATATAGGCAGACAGCAAAGATGATGCCCAAAAATACAAATAAAAGAGCAAGACTATCTGATCTTCAGCTGCAACGTGTCAAAACAGAAACACTGCTGAGAAGATTGGTTGGGAAAACAAAGGCAAAGAATGTCTATGAAAAAGGACTTATAAAGGCAAAGGAGAAGCTGAGATCTTTCATACAATTGTTTTATTTTTGTGAAGACCAACATGTTCAGCTACAGGCTCCCTGTTCAAATATGACTCTGTTCAATGATGAGACAGGCTCAAAGTGTCTAGTCCAAGTTTTGTAAGAGTTTATTCTATTTGGAATTTGCTTCTGAACCCCATCTAGTATCTGTCAGTGGGAATGACAACATCTGTGGTGAAAAGGGTCTGTAAGTGAGTTAAGCAAGGAGAAACAAGGCATCTTCAAAGTGTTTTAAGAATGTGAGTGAGCCTGGAAAAAGGAATTGTGAAAACACAATACAGCCATATCAGTAACTCAATCTTAAATGCTTATATAATTTATCTTGTTTGTTTACAGAGCTTTCAAAGTTCACATAAAGTGTATCTACACCAAAGGAAATCACGCAGTATTACTTCTACTATTGGCACCTAACTCAGTGCAAGAAAAAACAAATGTGTGCTCTTATTTCTAGTGACTAGAAAGACAAATAAAACATGAATCAACTCCCGTTTTTAAGATAGGTCTGAGAGACTCCTATATCTGACACCAAGATGACAGAGCTAATTGCCAGTTTTCATCAGAGCCTACAATTTTAAATCAACAGAAGGAAAATTTAAGTGTTCAAACCTTACTCACCTGTCATAAACGTTCAAGAATTTCAGCTCCAGAGGACTACAAAGAACCTTGAAGTTACATAACTGCAAATGTCACCAGATA